AATTTACGGATGAATTTATCGACGAGATATATCCGTCAGTAAATTCGTCGATAAATTAATAATTAATTATTCGTCGGTAAATTCATCTCGTAAATTACAGATCGGATATTTCCGTCGGTAAATTATCAATTAGTAAATATTCAACTAATTAAAAAATTAAATATTTTTATTTAAAAATTTCATTTAATCATAATTAGATTAATTTATAATAATTTCTTAAATTAAATAATTTTAAAAAATAAATATTTAATTATATAAAAATATATAAAAACATATAAAAATATTTAATTATATATAAATCAACTAATTAAAAAATTAAATATTTTTTATTTAATAATTTCATTTAATCATAATTAGATTAATTTATAATAATTTCTTAAATTAAATAATTTTAAAAAATAGATATTTAATTATATAAAAATATATAAAAATATTTAATTATATATAAACAGGTGGCACGTGACTCACGTGCCCTGCCCTCACCAATACGTTTTGACATCGAGTTTCCATAGCCAATAATTTCATGCACCATGCCCTTTGACCAAAACTATGAACAACGTTGAATGAGACAATCACAATAGAGTTTACCATGCATGTCGGTCACAGACCAACGTGTGAGAAACTTCTACGCACATCACAATTCTAGTGTTCAAACAATGAAACCAGTTAACACGATATTTATGTTGGTCTAAGTCTAACAATGCCGTATGAGTTTCCTTTTTCTTTATCTTTTTAATCTCTTATATTTGGTTTTGAAATTAAACCTTAATTTTTTAACCTTGTTTGCATTAGTAGGAGTTGCTATGATTTTTCTTCTGTGGTGAGATTTGATATTTTGTATTTGGATTTCAATGCGATAGAGAGGAAAAGAAAAATTAAATTTAAATGTTTTAAGACCGTTCACGCGTGAAAAAATAGGGTTGAAAATCATTTCTTAACATCACTGAAACATTTCGAGCATTAAAGGAATAATTCTTGAATCCTTTGAAATTTTTAGATGGTTAAAACAAAATTTGATATAGTTGTTCTAACTCAAACAAATTTCAATATATTTTTAAAAGCAATTTAGTATAACAAAAAGATATACAAATGTCAAAAGTTGAAAAAGTAGGTGACTATAAAAATATTTTTCTTAAGCAATGACAATAACTCAGTAGGTAATTCGGTTGTAGATAATTTACCTATGAAATTACCGTCTGTATATAATATTATCCGTAGGTAATGCACTTACTTAAACAAAATATTTTTATTTATTATAACTCCTATTTACTTTTTATTATTACCTAAAACTCCTTTCATTTATATTATATTTTTATTATTTATTACATTTTTTAAAGTTTGAATTATTATCAGATTAAGAGAATTATCATCTGCGGGAATCAAACCCGAGTATCTTAGAATTTATATATTTATATATTTATATATTTATGTTTATATTTTTATGTTTATATATTTACATATTTATATATTTGATATAATTCTCTTAATTTACATATTAGTATGTAATTTATCTACGGAAAGTAATTTCTGTAGATAATGGATAATTACCCAAGAATGGTATTACCTACGGATAGTAATTTCGTAGGTAATGGAGGACGACTTTACCTACGAGATAGTAATTCAGTAAATAATGGATAATATTAACGAATGACATTACCTATGGACATTAATTCTGTAGGTAATAAATAATTACCCATGATGACATTAATTACAGACGAGTAATTTTGTAAGTAATGGATAATTTACATACGGATAGAAATCCGTAGATAATATATGTATGTAATGTACATTTTACCTACGAATTTTTATCCGTAGGTAATATTTTGTAGATAATACCCCTTTTTTTAGTGGCTCTTCATTGTCAAACAAATGAAAATGTATTTGCACTATAAATAATTATGAATAATCCTAGTAAGATTATTTATACTTTTAATGATATATGGATTATTGATATTAAAACTACAAATTATATGATATCTTATCCTAGTAAGATCACCAAAATTAAACCATCTATGTTGATTCTACTAATGAAAATAAAGCCAAAATTAATGGAAGATGATATTTAAATTTTACGAGTACTTTAAATCTTGATTGTTCCCCTTTAGATTTTTTTTTTTATCTATTTCTTAAATAACAACTGATTTATCTCATGTGATAAATTTTTATCCTAACTTTTGTGTTCTTAAAGATATCAAATCAAAACAATTAATTAGTAACATGATTAAAAGATGAAACTTATGTTACATAGATCTTTCAAAAAAAAATTTGATGAGTCACAGTAAACATTAACTATTAATAACTCTAAGGGAGAAAATAAAAAATTTGAAATCTAGTTGTAGCATCAACGCCTTGGTCATGATATTTTTAGTTTTAGTTGTGATGTTTGTAAACTAGTAAAGAGTTATAAAACATCATTTTTCATTAATTTTAAATAAGAGCCCTCGACCTTTTATGATAATACATTTTGACGTGTGAGGTCTATCTAAAATTCAAACTTAAGTGAATCTCGTTGGTTTGTTATTTTTATTGATGATTTATAAGAATGACTTGATTATATTTAATGAAATAAAAAAATGAGGTAAGTGTATCATTTAAAAAATTTATAAAATAGTAAGAACTCAATATAATGCAAAAATCCACTTTAATATAGTGATAATGGTGAGGAGTATACAAATTGTGAATTCAAATAATATTTTAATTAAATTACTTGTTCTAATATATCTTAGTAAAATGAAGTTGCTAAGAGAGAATTTTAACATTTATTAGAAGTTGTGATATACTTCATTGATTGTGGTATATATGTCATTGTGTTATTGAGGATAAACTAATAAATAGAATTTTTTCAAATTCTACATTTCATCATTTAACTGTTGCTCTAATTATCATAATCTAGTACAACATGATCGAAAGCTGATAGATTTTTTTATAAAAAAAAGTTAGAAGAGATAATTGTATAGAGTTGTCTATGATTCATTTAGAAGATGGTTAACATAATTTAACAAATATCATCTCAAATAATATATTATGAAATATTTTATTGTAAAAACTATATAGTATATATTATATATTAATTTATTAAGATTTGATATAATTATAAAATATTTTAGTTTCCTAATAACCTAATTACGTATATATATTTTGTGTCTTATAAATAAGTTATATTTATTTTATTTTATAAAAAAAGATCTCGAATTTTAGATTATAAAAAAAAAAGATAAAAGAAAGTTATTCATATAAAATTTAAAGTTTATACGCATATATGATTAATTATTACCTCAATCAAAGTTTTTTATAAAATCGAAAAAGTTAAAAAGTTAGTTATTGATTATAAATTCTTCAATTAATTGTTTAAAGATGATAAATTTCTCATCTCAAAAGCATTTTTTTTTTGTTAACTAAAGAAGTCTGACCTCTAAGTCAAGATTTTTAATTAAGTCAATTAATAGTTACAAATGTGTATTTTATATCCCTAATGCTAAACAAGTACTACCTAAACTTCTTCGTTATTTCAACACATTATGATAACATTTTTTTAATCCATTCTAGATAGAGTAATAATCCACATAATCATATATATTCTACTAATTACTTCCTATGAAATAGTAAATCAATATGAAATTACGTAACAAGAAACTAATTTTTTAATTATAGTAAATTATAGTATTAACTACATAAACTTATTAATATATATATATATATATATATATATATATATATATATATATATATATATATATATCCACTCAATTTATATAATTATAACAAAAGATGAAATTAAGAGTGTAGAATCTATCTAAATTATAGTGGTTTTGTATATCCATTGACATACATTTTAGAAGTGCAACGTGTGCGAAATAATAAGTTTTTGCTTTAGAAAATAAATTTTGAACTGAAAAACAAACCCACCCATGCATCAATAATTTATATATAGATCAGATGACTTGTGTACCAAAACCTTAATTTAAAATGGAACCTTCCAAGTAAAACTCTTAATATATGGGTTGAAGTACCAAAAATTTATGAAGTAAAACAATTAATGCACAGAATGGGGCACCATGATGTTCTTCATAAAGCTGTCTGTCTTCAGTGCTAGTCCAAAAGAAAACAAAAGACTCATCTTCATGCATGCATGCATGCATGCCAACGCCCATAATCATGGGGTGAAAATAGGTGTACCACATGGTTATGTCATCAAAGATGAATTTGAAGGTCAAGTTCATGAACAACATTAAACAAAGATATTAAGTGGCATGCATGCTACTTATTTAGAGCTTGCATGTATGAGTTTCATTACATATACTTCAAGGGTTTACAACTTAATATTCTTTTTATCTAAAATATTTTTAAGTGATTTATTATATCTTTCTCCTATTATAATAAATATAATTAAAAGACAAAAATAGAAATAGTAAAAAAAATAATTGATACAATCTTAAATTTACAAACATTATATATTTAAAAACAAAATTTCCTAACTAAACGTAATATATTTTAAAACGAATATATTCCTTCACACAAACTATCAATGTTTATTGGAATTATTCACTACTTTTCATTCCTTTACTAAATTTAATTATACTTACAATTTTAGTTTTTAAATTAGACTTATTTTCTTAGAAACTAAAAATGAAAAATTAGGCTTTTACAAATTTATAATTAAAACCTAAGGCCCATATATGATTAAATTAAAATACTATATTAAAAGAATTAAAAATTATAAGGGCCCTTTACTTATTTTATGTTAACATAATGAATACTGTAGAATAACATTTGTTTGCATAAATTAATAGATTTGAGTGATATTAAATAACTTCTAATAAAAATAAATATTAATTAATTTTGATTAAGTTTGGAAGAATTTCATACATCTTCCATATTAATATAGTTTAATATATATTATATAAAGAAATCAAATTAAACTAAGATTAGAGGAAGCAATGTGAATAAATATTGGTGTATTGTGGAATTAATAAGGGACCCGCAGACAAAGAGCAGTGCGTATGGATGAAGGACATGTTGGAGCATGGAAGGTAAGTCAATGGTGGACTTTATTACCCCCAACCAAACCTCTTCTTAAAGTGAACATCCAATTCCAACCGAAGCACAAACACACAATCACTGAATCATTCGATGATTATTAATGGATAAAATAACAGAAGCAACTGACAAACATAACCGATAACCGAGTGCCACCCAGCACCACTTACAATTTCTTTCACCCCTTCAATAACCACTATTATTCATTCCCCTACCCTTTCTTCTCTTCTTATTCATTCCCATCAAGCGATCACTTTTTCATACCCTTTTCATCAAGGTCAAGAACAACATAGAATGGTGGTGTGATTCTGTATTTTCTATTCATTACACTATGGATAAGTACGAGGCCGTTAAAGATTTGGGAACTGGCAATTTTGGGGTGGCCAGGCTTATGAGGAACAAGGTCACCAAGGAGCTCGTAGCCATGAAATACATCGAGCGTGGCCAAAAGGTTTCCTCTTTAATGCAATTATTCCATCAATTTATGATTCTTCAACACCCCTTTTTGTGTTTTTATTGATTAGGAGTTGAAGAGATGGTACCACTTGAATTGAAGTATAACTAAAGATATATGGGACTTGTATTTGACTATTTGATGATTAATTCCCCTATGATTTATTGTCATTATTTTTTAATAAATGAAAGGGTTAACCTTTAACATGTTTTTTCTTTTCCTTTCTACTTCAATTTTTAGATTGATGAGAACGTGGCAAGGGAGATTATGAACCACAGGTCCCTTCGGCATCCCAATATAATTCGTTACAAGGAGGCAAGGAATTTAATTTACTTCTTTTATTTAACATGTTGGATCACTTTGTGTTGAGCACGAGCTCTGCACATTAATGAATTATTTACTGTTTCTTTTCTTCTTCAACACGATATTGATTTTGCAGGTGGTTTTAACTCCCACACATTTAGCAATTGTGATGGAGTATGCAGCAGGTGGAGAGCTCTTTGAGAGGATATGCAGTGCTGGCAGGTTCAGTGAAGATGAGGTAAATAGCTTCACTTGTTCTGATAATTTTCTCCCTTGCTTTTGTCTCACTTACTTTCCTTGGTTGTAATGTTCAGGCTAGATATTTCTTTCAGCAGCTGATATCCGGTGTCCATTTCTGCCATACCATGGTATGCTCATGCTCAAGTTTATGATTGGTAAATCATGGCAGTTCTCTTACAGAAAATCACAGCGAGAACTTATGCGTTTACGGTTTTTTTGCAGCAAATATGCCACAGAGATTTGAAGCTAGAAAATACCCTTCTAGATGGAAGTCCTGCGCCTCGGTTGAAAATTTGTGACTTTGGTTATTCCAAGGTATTGGAATTGGCATCATCCAGCTTAAAGTTTCAGTTACTGTTGCTAGTTTTTAATGTTTCTTGTTTGTGATGTAGTCATCTTTGCTGCACTCACGACCCACCTCCACGGTTGGAACACCAGCTTATATAGCACCGGAAGTTCTTTCTAGGCGAGAGTACGATGGAAAGGTACTGTATTAGCTGCATATTGAATAAGTTCTTTAGAGTTCTCAGCATCTGGTTTATTTGATCTCAACTTCACCTTTCTGGCTTGTTAGGAGTTACTGGGAACTTTGTATTTTTGTGAGGGTGTGGGCTGATGGGATTTGTTTAACTAAACACTTATTCATCCCTGGTTTTGTTGCTTTGTTCTTCTGATATGCTACCAAGAATGAAGTATATTTTGAGTATTTTGCATGTTCACTTTTGAACCAATATGTATTTTTTGTTTTAAATATTGTTCTAGTTGGCTGATGTATGGTCGTGTGGAGTGACTCTTTATGTCATGCTGGTTGGAGCATATCCCTTTGAGGACCAGGATGACCCTAGGAATTTTAGGAAAACAATACAGGTTTGTTTCCACCCTTTCAATACTGATTTGCATAATGTTTCTTATGTTATTTCAACATCACTCTTATCCTGATTTCCTGTTCCATTTCTACAGCGTATAATGGCTGTTCAATACAAAATCCCTGATTATGTTCACATATCTCAAGATTGTAGACAACTCCTCTCTCGTATATTTGTTGCAAATCCATTGAGGGTATGTTAAAATGCTTTAGGAACTCAACTTTTTATGCTTTTATTGCAATTCGGTTAAACTTCCTTGCAACTTGGATCATGTCATGTGTACCATGCCTCTTTTACGGTCTAATGTCTATATATTTTTAAGTATTAAAGTTACTTTTCAACCTTGCCAACCATTTTTCAGATGAATACAAAATATTCAAAAGAAACTTCTTTGTAAAGTGCATATTGTTAGTTCAAAGCTATACCTAAAGAGGAAGTTTATACCCAGTCTTTATTTTATCTACTTTATCTGAGCAATTAGTGTTTATTCGATAGGTATGATTGGAGTGTTTCCATTTCGCTTTTGAATTTTATGTGTATCTTATACACCAGAACATGAATTAGTCTCTTCAGTGTACATTTTTTCAAAAACTATTTCTCTAAGAATTTCCATGAATTTGAGTATATCATGAAATTGAGGCCAATGATGCACAATTTTGAGAAATTTGATCTAATTGTAACGTTTGCAGATTGAGACACTTGTGGTACTTGTCTTTTGAAATTTAGGTGGTGCCATATACAGGATGTAATTAATTTTGACTGGCTACTGTTAGTAATATTTGAATATAAGGAATTTACTAAATTTTGGGAGACGTTTGCTTTAACTTTTTAATCAAAGTCCTTTTATGGTTTTCACATCCTTACATCTCCTTTTTGAATGCTCTACCTGTGTCTCTAGTTCAGTATCCTGTGGCTTTACACGTCCTTGAAGCAAAAGACAAGTTTAAACGGGCTTTCTTTCAAACAAGATGCTCTTGAAAATGTAACTAACTACATTTTGGAATTATGATATATAGCTAACTGCTACACAATATTCTTTATTGTTTTCAGAGAATTACTATTAAGGAAATTAAGAGCCACCCGTGGTTTTTGAAGAACCTTCCAAGGGAGCTAACTGAATCAGCTCAAGCTATGTATTACCAAAGAGACAGCCCAAACTTTCACCTTCAAAGTGTGGACGAGATAATGAAAATTGTCGGAGAGGCAAGAAATCCACCTCCAGTATCTAGACCTGTCAAAGGTTTTGGCTGGGAAGGTGAAGAAGATTTGGATGAAGAAGTGGAGGAAGAGGAGGATGAAGATGAGTATGATAAGAGGGTCAAAGAGGTTCATGCAAGTGGGGAATTCCAGATTACTTAAAAGCCCTCAAAATTCTTGTGCACTTTGTTTTAGAAGTCACCCTCTTTTGGTGTACCCTAAGTGGCCTATTTATGTGTATGATGATTACGGTTCTGTACTTGTAATATAGTTCGTGTATTACATTGGTCGGCTATGTATGAGAATAATAGTTGTTTGATTCATTTGAAATCAGCATGAGACTACAATAATTGTCTGTTCTTATCTGCAACAGAATTTTACTCAAAGATGCTTTCAATGGAGAGTTCAATGAACAATGATCTCAGCCATGAATGATGATGCCTAAAAGTTCCCACTTCGATTGTAGAATGGAGCACGGCCACACTAAAAATTTAAGAATTAGAATCACATTGCAAATAGTACTTGCATGTTACTATCATCTCTTCCTCAAAATAAGACCAAGCAATGGTGTTGATAGCCATGTATCTATTATATGTAAACATTATAGTCAATCTCTACATTCCAGTTGCCAGAGGTTTTAACAAACATAAGAGAAAACAATTTTCTAGCTCTGCAAAATCTGCTAATTGTATTACTCATCATTCACATAGTAGTACATATGAAAATGTACATGCTAGGTCCAATGTGGTTGAAATGAATTTACTGATCTTGAATATGGATTTTTAACCTCTTGAGCCAAATGGAATGGACAGTCATATGGAACATATCATACCTCTGTGGGGGCTCATTAGGCACAAAATGCCTTTGCACTTGTTTCACCCTCCTTTGCATCCTCGAGTACTGCCTATCTGAAATGCCCGTGAGTATCTTTTTGATGTTGGGAATTTCCTTGACAGCCACTTGAACTGAAAATGATTTCCAATTCAAAACATCATCGAAGGGTGGAACATAGTTCTCAGAAATCAATACTGGCACACATTCTGCAAATATTGCTTCCACTATTCTGGGACTAGCTACTTCATAACCACTTGGGCAGAGGCAAAACCTGCTGCTTCTAAGCTTTGCGTAGTAAGAGATTCCTTCAGGAATTTCCTCATAGACTTGCACGTCTTGGTCTTTGTTTTTCCATGTATGTAGAAGCAAGTATCTTATATAGCCATGCAGATGACCTGCGAAGAAAGCAAGGATGGTCCTTTGAGATGGGGGATACCCTCCTACTAGACCTGTGAGTTCCCCGGTCATAAGTTTAATCTCAGGAAACGACACATCCTTTGCAGGCTTGAATCCTTCAGATGTATTTGCGTTGCAAAGAACCCTTATGGCATTGTTATACAAGAAATCCACGTAACTGGATACAATTGGACCCTGTCCAGTGTCAAATAGTATTATTAGAGAAAAGGGAAGCAACTCAACAAATTTTTTTTCACATTCTTGATATTGATAGCCACAAAATTGAAATTAATGTGAGTTGGCTCGGTGTTTTATGAAATATCTTCGAATGAACTTATTCAATGTACATTAAAAATTATAGGGTCAAAACTTAGATCAACTTTCTGATATCTTTACTTTTAACAATATCAAACCAATGATACATGATTAAAATTTTAAAGTTCTGCAGTATATTCCTAGTAAATACTATTTAGTACTTTTGTTTAACATGACATCTGAATCACGTGAATATTATAAGGGACTTGATATAAACTTTTCTATTGAGGAAGCGTTGACTTTTTATATAGATCATAGATTAAGTGAGGAATTGAATTCCTTTATACCAGAGAGAGAGAGGTCATTACTTACCCAATCGTGGCAAGAGAGAATGAAATGATCATGGCCGAGGGATCGATTCCAGAAGGGATGTTTATGAGATATAATCTGTATGTAGTCTTTTACAACAAGGCCAAGGGGATCTCGATTATAATTGGAGCCACGATCGTATACATATTCGACCAACATAACCACACTAAAGGGCAAATAATACACAAAAGCTTCATCTGGATCATAAGTACGATAGTACCTCCCCTTTTCCATTTCATTTATGAATATTCCCTCAGTGGCATATATGTCTTTGTTTAGACCATTGTGGAACAGCGGTGGCTCCCCTTCTTCATACACAAAAGCCTTGAACACCTTTTCCATCTCTAAGTAACTCCTGTGAACAAATTACTAAAATTAATGCAAGCTAAAGAAGAGTAAGATTATCTGCTAAAATTTCAAGGATGTTCAAGAACGTATGATAATTCAAATACAAGGTGGTTATCATGCATTAGTTTGATGCATGCAGAAGCTTATGCTGGACCAAAAACAAAAAAACCATATATGTACCTATGAAACGCATTGGCGTTTCTGTAAATTGGACCATGAGGAACATAGTCTGGATCTTGGAGGGTTGATGTCAAATTTCTAATTTTGCTAGCTTCTCTGATGGAATACCTTGCTTTAGCCAATTTTTCTTCGATTCTTCTTAGCTTGCTGTGCTTCTGAATTTTAAGGTTCTCTTTATCCGTACCTCTGTGCATAAACTCGGTGTCACGCTTTTCGTTACTCTAAAGACCAACCACGTACCAAGAAGAAGAAAAGAAACCCCACAAAAAGAAAGCATGAAAAGGTTCATTTATTGAAAGAAAATAAAAAGTTAAATGGTATGAAACAAATACTTGGTCACTTCTAACAAGCTGATTGAAAAGGATGGATAATATACTTCATTGATAAATTCTCGAGAACCATGATTATCTGAAGCAAATGCAGTTTGCGATGGAGCCTCTCCTTCATTATGTAACATTGAAACTCTTCTCTTTTCTGTATCCAACGATGAAGTTGGTTGTCCCCTCCGACAAACATGAGGTGTAGAGAAATTGGGAGCAAGAAGACTCCGGCAAGAAACAAGAACTAGTAGAGTTACGAAGAAAAGAGCCACAAAGTGAAAAGACCAAGAAGTGGATGAAGAAAAGTAATTGGTAGAAGTTCTCATCTTAATTTACAGTATATATCTTGGTGAACTAGGTACCATGCTCGATCCAATACTGTGAAGAAGTTGGAGATGGTGAAAGAATGATGATTATAAGTGGGGTTGGGATGCATTACTTGGTGCCTACAGCATAGAGATTCTTTACTGAAGAGGCCAAGTATTCTTACGTACCAAGAGTAACATAACATGAAGGAATAAGCAAATATGTGTGTGCCTTTTAACAGTAACTTTGCACTTTTCATGCACGCTTCACACCTCTCAATAAGTGGTACCTAGCAAATATTATACAGGATCACATGAAATATTCAAAATTAAATCTTGACTTGTTTACAGATTTTATTTTAAATTTTCTTAAAAAGGATTTTGCCAGAAAGTGCATCCAAAAATCATTTTCTTTACCTTTTAATAAAAGCTTTTGTAATATTCAAAATTAAAAAAAAATGCATCCAGATATTTAGATTTAATTATATTTTTAGTTTTAAAATTTGGGTTAAATGATTTTTAACTCCTAAAATTAAAAAAAAAAGGTTTCATCTTTCAAATTTAATAAAATATGATTTTAGTCCTTGATTACTAAATTTAATGACTAAAAACAATATATTTTTAAAAATATTTGTCAATTTATTTTTTAAGAACTAAAAAACTTTATTTTTAATTTTGAGAGTCGAAAATATTTTTTTCTTAAGGTTGAAAAGTAAAGTTATAATCACTTTAAATTTTAGAAACTAAATCCATAATTAAACCTTATATTAATCGGTAAGCCTTTAATTATTATACTATTGATTAAAAAAAACATTGAACTTAGAAAATCTTTAATAGAGTTGCTTACAGCGATAATTAGGGAATTTACCATGAAAGTAAATTATTGTTGAATTATAGAAATAAAAAAAAATTACTATGAGGTCAACAATACTTACAAAGTCAAGTTAAACAATTAAGTTAGAAAGTATAAAGTGAATTTTTATGTGCGCTTAAATTTACTTAGTATTAGTCCACACAATTTGAATAAACTAAAACAAATGCTGTGTTATACGTGTAACGTAGGCATAATTATTAATAGTCGAATAAGTTAATTTGTTGATTGGTGTTAATTAATTTCACAATTGATTGAAGTTAAAAATGACTTAAACAATGATTTTGGACTCAAAATATATCATTCATGTATAAACGCATCATTAAAGTTAGATATTTTAAATAAATTAACTTTCCTAAAATAAATTATCATTTGGAGCATATAAAATATTATAATAAAAAAACTAAATGTAAAACTTATAAAAGATTAGACTAAAATTTATAATAAAACAAAATCATAATACAGGGTGAACAAAGTCTTTTACTAAATTAAAATATTTTTTTTACTAATTTAGTTTAAAAATTGACTCTACATCCTTAAAAATTGTCTTAATTATAAAACGATAAAGTTTAAAATTTTTAAAATTCAGTTATCTTTTTTAAGACAAATAATAAAATAAAAACTAAGTCAAATTTTCAGTCTTAAAGATTCAAACCACTTGGTTAAAATTGAACAACTAAAATCATTGGTAATAAACTTCCGAAAAGTAAAAGGTATTTAAGATTTACTTTGGTAAAATTAAGAGATATAGTTTATTTCAAGAACCCAAATACAGAAAAAAAAATTTGGTTAAGATGAAAGAAAGTTGGCAATTAAGAAGATTAAAATATTTAAACATTATTTTATTTCTGTACATCATCCTCAGTCCTGAGCCCGAGGATTGAGAAAGTAAAGTAACTGGGAATTTCCTTTATTGTATTTAGATAGAATAAAACACATTTTTTATATGAATATAAAAAAAAAAAGTAAATAATTGAATTGAAGATTTAGATAAAGAAAAAGAAGTGGTAGGAATTCATTTCAGTCTCACCTGCCTCTACCTCTCAACCCTCAACTCTCAACTCTCAACATCAGCCATAACTTCAAGAGGGTCCCTTCTTTGTCTCTAGATTCAGAAGCCATTGATGTACGAATACTATACCAATACAATACTATAGTACAAATACCACTTCCCAACATTTTCTTCCTCTGCCTCAAAACCAGTGAAAAAAAAAGGAGAGTACAGTAGGTCCTTCTTTCCAATCCCATTTTCTTCTCACCTAACTACCCTCTTGCTAGAGCTTTCTGTCTCTCCTCCAAATTAATTGGAATTGAGTGAAGTTATCATCTTTTTGCTATATTGATTACTGGGTAATTATTGTTCATAGCATTGGATTTTCCCATTTTTTTGTTGCTGAGGCTTCAAGCATTGGCTGTGCTAATTTATCACTGGTTTATTAAGCTATGAACTCTCCAATTCATGCCCCTTCATCATCAGCATCTTCTTCTTCCTCCTATGTGATGCATCCTCCTCCATGGCTTACTCATGCTTCTCGTAACCTCAAGTGTCCTCTGTAAGTGTTCCATTTTCATGATTCTGATGCTTTTGTTTTTTGTTCTGACCTATTTTTTTGGAATCCAACAACTTTTTCATGTCATCCCTGGAACGGATTCTTATCATGACTCGGAATGGAGTCAATTAATCAGAATCACACACTGTAAAGGGTGTCCTGTTCTGAAATCTAAGTTATTGATCCTGGCATTTGGAAGAAGGCTTTTCAGGCAATGTTTGTATAAATTATAAAAAATGGCATTTCTTGGTTGGAGATGGAGGTCTACAAGATGATGCTTTACTATTTGGTTGGCAATGGTTGCTACTTAAACTTCATTTTAGAATGGTGTTTAACTATTACTTAAATGGTTTATTTACCTAAGGAAATGTCTTTAAAATCAAGTACTCTCTGTTCCCTTTCAATTTTCTTGTCCATGAACACAAAATTTTGCATTGAGTGGTCGTGAGCATGGTTTAAATTTTTGTTGCAATTTTTTTTTTTTTTTTGAAAGTTGCAAACTGCTAGACTTTCATCCGAACATTTTCATGTGTACATTTCTTTGCGGCTTTGAATTGCGCATCAAATTGCAACTTTTCTTTGTCTTCTAAACTTCAATGTCATAAAAAACATTTGCACCTGTTATAGAAGTGTGCCTCCTTTGGGGCAAATTTTTGTTACTAAACAATGTAAAGATTAACAGAATTTCCCAAAGTATGTAACTTTTTTATGTTCATAGGTTGTTGCCACAGACAATCTGTACCTCTCAGAAGAAGTATCGCTGCTTTGGAGCTCATGTAGATGCTTCTTTTAATAATAATCCCTTGAAAAATTACAAACCAGTCAGATGTTCTCCATGGTGGTCTGAAGCACAATCCCTGGTTTCTAACCAATCTCTAAACAAACAGCTGTTCTCAGTAGGATCTTTAGCAACTTCTACAGCTCAAGATGTTTCTGATACAACTCGTTTTGGTGATGATAAGATTGGAGTATTACTGTTAAACCTTGGAGGTCCAGAGACTCTAGAAGATGTGCAGCCCTTTTTGTTTAACCTTTTTGCCGACCCGGTAATACACTAGGTTTTATACTCTTTACATTTGAGCAGTCATTTTTTATCTTTCAGTTCCTTTAGGTTGAGATTAACCTAAAACTATAAATTCCTTATTGCTTGATATTATGTACAATCACACAGGATATAATACGACTGCCAAGGATATTTAGTTTTCTTCAAAAGCCATTGGCCCAATTTGTATCTATTGTAAGGGCCCCAAAGAGCAAAGAAGGCTATGCTTCAATAGGTGGTGGCTCTCCTCTTAGACGTATGACTGATGCACAGGCATGACTCTTCCTATTAATTTTTTGCTTTTCCATTATGACATATTTTACACTCAAATTTGTAATAATTTCCACAAATTGAACTATTATATTTGAGAGGGCGTTGATCTGTGTATATGTACCACTTTTCTCAACTTCAGATTTTGTAAGGTGAAAGAATAGTTAAAGAGTATATCAAAAAGTTGCAAAGAAATTTCTAGAAATCGGTGCCATGTGCATTTCAATTTCATTTAGCAATAGTATTTATAAAATTATAACTAATATATGTGCTTATAATGGTGTAGAATTTTATTTATTTATTTCTGTAGGGAAGTTACTACTAACTTGGACAATGTTATATTGTCACCTCGTCCTTAACATTATTCCAACCAACTCAATCAAGCTTTGAAAAATTCAGTTTCCCTTTAGATTTTACAATCAACTTATAATGCTAGGAATGCATAACATATTCATTCCATTAAATTAGTACTTTTGTTTGACTCTATTAGTTTCCTAGTAGTCCTGGTTCATCTAATGAGCTCTTTCACAGGCTGAAGAGTTGAGAAAATCTCTTTGGGAAAAGAATGTCCCAGCTAAAGTGTATGTTGGAATGCGTTACTGGCATCCTTTCACTGAAGAAGCTATTGAGCAGGTAGTTCATGATGTTGACTTCAGTAAAATTTGTTTAAGATTATGCCATTGGTGGATTCTCTTCCCTGTTATTCCTACAATCTTAGTTCAAAGATGTAGCTGCATGCTTCATATTCTAAAAGAAAGTTTGCAACATTTCAAAGGGTTGCTTGAAGCAATTGTCTTTGATAGTGCATTATTGGACAGCTTCCATGCAGCCAATGCTTTCTATCTCATGAAGATATTTCTTGGCCAATACCAATTATATATGACTGCTAAAATTTTTGTTTAGATTCTCAGTGTTTAGCTTGAAAAATTTTCTGGTCTCTTTATATTGCATGCCAGTGAGCAGACATTCACATGATTGTGTGAACATAACTTGTGAGCTCGATTTGTAAGGAGATCACTGTTTGTAAACATATTTAAAACATTAAGGTTGAATAGCAAAGAAAGAATAGCACAAATCATGATAATAGTATTTAAATTAAATCTTAAGGAATCATGAAATTGTATTAAAATCGTGATAACTTCTACAACCATATTTCTCATTTATCTTTTTTGTGATTTCTTGCCTACTTAATTATTACTAATTTATCCCTTAAAATATATTGTATAGATTAAAAGGGATGGAATTACAAAGCTTGTTGTTCTTCCACTTTATCCTCAATTTTCAATATCCACCAGTGGATCAAGTCTACGACTACTGGAGAATATATTCCGGTGATTACTAAATATTTTTTTTTATGTCATTTATTATATGTCAAATCTATAAACTATCTAACCTTCTTATATATTCTGAATTGTTATTGGTTCTTTAGAGAGGATGAGTATCTAGTCAACATGCAGCACACAGTAATACCATCATGGTATCAACGTGAAGGATACATAAAGGCCATGGCAAATTTAATTGAGAAAGAGCTGAAGAGTTTTGACTGCCCTAAGGAGGTTCATTATTTTGTTAATGTTTTAAATTTAAATGACTCATTAAAAAAGGGCATGGTTCCTTGACAAATTTTAAAAGTCTGCGCTAGCAATTCACAAAATTTGTCATTTAGAAACTGTGGCACTAGGCATCTACCTTAGCATGCATGAACATGTTAGAAGGAGGGAAGAAGGTTGATGTTTTCAATGTAGCTAACCATTCGGGCCACTTCATATGTGTTCTAAATGGAAAAGAGTGATTATTTAGGGAGAAGAGATGATGATGAGAAAAAAAGACAATTCAAAGTTTATCTGATGGAACCAAATTTAAACGTTTTACCACAATGGACAGTTTCCTAATTTTAGCCTTGAGGATGAGGCTACTACTGTTCTGGGAGGAATCGATAAGCAAAATCTGGTTTAAGCTCATAATTCTGCATTAAGAAGTTATGAGGCAATAATTTTTATATTAATTTCAGATTAGACAGTCATAGGTTATGATTTAACAAATATAGTGATATATAAGCTGTGTCATATACTTGTAAAGGGAATTAAGGTGTCATGTTGTCATTTCCAGTGTTTTGAAGAAGAAACTCCTTGCTAGGGGGAAACCCTCTGTTGACAATGTACTCAAATTTAGCTTAAAAACCAGATAATTTATATAATTTGATCGAAATTCAGTGTTTATTTATTCAATTCAACATAGTTACTCTAGTTTCTGTCTGTTTGCACGCGTCCAAGTAATTCATGCTTGTTGCAGGTCAAGATATTCTTCAGTGCACATGGGGTGCCTCTTGCTTATGTGGAAGAGGCTGGTGATCCATACAAGGTTGAAATGGAGGAATGTGTGGATTTGATCATGGAAGAACTCGAGACAAGAAAGATAACTAATACCTACACCCTTGCTTATCAGGTAACTACATTTTGTCTTTTCAGCAGTTGATTCTCTAAGTTCTGATTTCTACAACTTATTCTTTTTAGATTTTCTACTAAAATGCTAGGGTATTCATAATTGGAAATTCTCTAAATTGAGTGATCCTCTAGGCAATAATATTCTAAATAGTTCATGTGGTTCACCAATGATCGCATAAAGAAAGCTTGTTGGGAGAATTTCTTTACAATTAGTCCGTCTGGCTTGAAACATATAATCTTTTGATTCCCTATAGTTGAACACTCCATTTAGAATCCGTTCATTTGAAGGCAAAGTGTAAAGTGAAAAGTGATTGGTGTTGAGAAATGAGTAAAATGAAATTATTTTCCATGTTTGAAAGCAAAGAAAGATATTACTTTCTATTAGGTCACATATGTTCTACTTTCCATTCATATATATATGTGTGTGTGCGTGGTATTATTTTTTGAAATAACATTTTTTCCTTTTCATGCCACTTTCTCTTCAAAATAATTATAACTTTCTCTCTATTTTATTTCTCTTTCTTTCCTTGCAACCAAACATAGGATTAGAGTTAGACATTTCTTTTCTGGATTTCTAACGATTGACTAATTTTGTTGCAGAGTAGAGTTGGGCCAGTGGAATGGTTAAGACCCTATACAGACGAGACAATAATTGAACTTGGAAAAAAGGGGGTGAAAAGTCTGCTGGCTGTTCCAATTAGGTAAAGCTGTCTCTATCTTCTCCACCCCTTTTCTTTGTCTCTCCTGGGGCACATTGTTAACCCGTGCTTAATTGACAGCTTTGTCAGTGAGCACATTGAAACTCTAGAAGAAATTGATGTTGAATACAAAGAATTGGCTCTAGAATCTGGTATAGAAAACTGGGGTCGTGTTCCTGCTCTAGGATGTGAACCTACCTTCATTTCTGATTTGGCAGATGCTGTCATTGAGAGTCTCCCATATGTTGGTGCCCTGGCTGCCTCAGACCTTGAAGCTCGACAGGTTTTGAACTCCCATATAAATTTTTATGTCTCATTCTAGATGGAAATCTGCATACTTTTTGAAAAGGGGTGGATGTCACTTGAAGCACTGGTGAGGAGAGTAGGTCACATAATTTGTAGTCCTGTAAAAGGAGGTAAAGAAAGATACAAAAGAACATTATAGAAATTAAAAGGGATCTCGTGGTAAATAGTATCCCCCGAGAATTTAGTTTTTAACCAAACCTAACTTCTTTTTGTGATTCATGTAGTCAACCTTACCTATTGTTATTACTTTTATTTATTATTATATGCATGGTGGAAATATTTCATTCAGTGTTCTTTTAAGCAGTATTTGAAACAGAGACAGAATTTTCCATTAATTTATTCATGAGTTGTTATTTTGTAGCTATATAGTTGCATCTTGTGATCTAATTCAAAGTTTGCGCTCTTTGTCAGTCCCTTGTTCCACTGGGCAGTGTAGAAGAGTTATTGGCAGCATATGATACACAACGGAAGGAGTTGCCACCTCCAGTTATAGTGTGGGAATGGGGTTGGACAAAAAGTGCTGAAACTTGGAATGGAAGAGTAGCAATGCTGGCTATACTTCTTCTTTTGTTTTTTGAAGTCACTACAGACAAGGGTTTGCTACACCAGTTTGGAATATGGCCCTCACTTAGGTGAATGAAGCATCACCACATGCCCTATAGGACCGGAGTTTTTTTTTTTTTTTAGTTCAATTTTAATCCTTTATCAGTAAATGGCTTTTTTATACTACAATCTAATCATGTTCTTAACACAGTTTTTGAGTAGTTTTATCATAGCCAAGCTACATTTTACAATGTGTTAATGCATGATTAGAGTAGTGTAAAAATGTCTTGACAGTTGATCAATTTAAATCCATTCAGTTTTGCTTGTATTTCCATAATTTCAGCATCATATGCTACTCAGATCCAAGACATGCACCCAAGAGTCCTCAAATGTAGTTTAGGCACAATATTTGTGGATGGTGATGGAAGAGAAAATTTGTATACTACACATAATGTTTTTGTATGTATCTAAACTTGAAAATTGGCTTACTTAAGTCGGAAAACTACTAGGCTGTAGTAGATGTAGATAATGAGCAGTTGAGGCAATAACAAGTTCTTGTCCGAAGTGTGAACTTATCGGATAACACTGGCATTTTACTGTGTTGTTCTACAGAAGGGATTCTGTAAAAGGTGATGAAATTCTTGTTCAATTTCTTTGCACATGGTCCTGCCAATCACAGAAGTACTGAAGTAGACATCTCTAGCAACTAGCAATACTTTCATTCTGAAGATTTTCGCTGCTACTTTTGTAATTCCCTTAACCGAAGAAAGGATAGGAAAAACGGATATTGCCTCATCTGAGTCAGTTTACAAGCTTGAATACAATTTACAGATGAATTCTATATATAGTTTTAAGAAAAGTTACAGTTTCTGCAGGGCTTTCAAATGTTTCAGGTCTCTGCGTGAGTTCAAATATAAAAAGATACGAGTTAAGAGTGATGCTCTCACTAACTCATGGAATACGCTTAGATGATAACGAAGGGAAACCAATGAATAAAGGGGAAATGAAAATAAAATTATAATGTGACATTTTCTCTCACTTTTCTTTCACATTCCCATTACAACGAGGAGGTATTAGGAGAAAAATGTTTTTTCAAAACTTTTTATTTTATTATATTATAGAAGTTAAAATTTAATCTTGAAATGCTCAGTTTTATACTATTCACTCAAAGAAATGTCAGGAAAAATTGTAAAGTTGTTATATGTTCCGACTACGTTGCCACGTGTCAAGATGTGAGGGCGTTGGGAGTCAACTTGTTATATAATGCAAGGTTGATGTTCGTACGAGTCTCGGTTTATGCAGTTTGTAGGAACCATGCAGAAAACTTTGCTGATTTTCTTAAAAGATCAAATTCAATAATTGGTCAAGACGAAGATATATGATTAATTAAATTATAGGTTTATATAGTTGTATAAAATAGTGCATAATCAGAACTTATTTTATTTAGTTTTGATTTATAGGAGTAAAATACTATAAAAACATGGTATTTATATTCAAAAGAGATATGAATAAAAAATTATAAAATGAATTCTATGTTTTTTAATTTGGTACCAGAGTTTAAAATTTTTTTCTTTTTCTTTCTAAATCTTTGGAGATCTTTACTGGAGAGATGACAGAAAAACGAATTCCAATAGTAGTTCAATCTAAAGGTATCTTTAATGTAGACATAATCCTAAATGAATACAACTATGATGTATGATCACAACTAATGGAGATGCACATTGAAGAGAGGCAAAAATTGTCTTACATTCGTGGGAAGATGAAGCCTCCAACAGAGAAAGATGAACGATATGAAAAATGGCATGCTGAACACCAAAAAGTGAAAAAATGGCTACTAATGTCCATGAAACCAGAAATCATGAAAAAGTATCTTCGCTTACCCACTGCCCTCGATATTTGGAATACTTTGTCAAAGGCGTTTTATGATGGAAGTGATGAGCTACAGGTGTTTGTCCTGAATCAAAGGGCATTCACTGCAAAACAAAATAATAGAACCCTAACTGAATATTATGGGGAGTTGGTTGAGATTTGTAGGGAATTGGACCATCGTGATAAACTAGTCATGAAGGACCCTGATGATGTGAAGTCATATCAGAAGTCCATTGAAAGATTGAGAGTACATATATTCCTTACTGGACTGGATGATGATTTTAAGCAAGTTCATAGAGAAATCTTGTGCAAAGAAGTGACATCTGATTTAGAAGAATGCTATGCATTAACCCGAAGAGAGTTAATCCAGTGAACAACGTTGAAAACAAAAGATATGATATCTAATTTCATAGTTATGATGCTTGCTATAACTGCAGGTAATGATGAGTCCAATGGTAAGACCTTAATAAGCACATCTACCGTTCTGAAAAATGCATGGATAATTGACTCTGCGTATTCTGATCATATGACTTTTGATATTAGACAGATTAAAAATCTTAAACATTCCTCACAAAAAAAATATTTCCACAACCAATGGTAGTAAATCCACTATCTTTGGAGAATGAACTGTCTTTATTTCTAACAACTTGAACCTTGATACTGTCCTTACTGTTCCTTCTCTTAAATATAACCTATTGTCAGTCTCGCAAATAACCAAAGTTCTTTTATGTGTTGTAATTTTTTGGTCTGACTCTTGTGTTTTTAAGGACATTCAAACGAGGAAGATGATTGGTTGTGGTATTAGGCGAGGAAAGTTGTATTACCTGGACCTGAAAAAAAAAGATTCAAAGAGACTTGGTCAAGTGCTAGCAACAAAAGAGTCTCAAGAAGTGAGAAAAGGCAAGGATATTTGGTTATGGCATAAGCGTCTAGGACATGCATCTTTTTTGTTACATAAAAAAATTATTTCCAAATATGTTTGATTAAGTAGACACTTCAACTTTGTATTGTGATGTTTGTGAGCTTGCAAAGAGTCATAGAACATATTTTCCTTTAATTTCAAATAAAAGTTCTCTTCCTTTTATGATCATTCACTCTAATATATGGGGTCCATCTAAGGTTACAACGTTGGGTGACTCAACGTGGTTTGTAACATTTATTGATAATTGTACTCGAATGAATTGGTTATGTTTGATGAAATCTAAAAGTGAAGTTGGAGGACTATTTCAAAAATTCTACAAAATGATTAAGACCCAGTACAAAGCACAAGTTCAGGTACTGCGTAGTAACAATAGAGGAGAATATATGTAATAAGAACTTTAACATTTTTTAGTAGCCAAAAGAATTGTTCATCAGATATCTTGTCCAAATACTCCACAACAGAATGAGGTGGCAGAACGAAAGAACCGTCATCTATTGGAGGTGGTCCGAGCTGCACTAATTGGAGCTCACATGCCAGCAATATATTAGGGAGAAGCTCTCACATATGCAATATACACTATCAACTAAACACCGTCCAGGTCTCTTGAGTATAAAACACTTCTTCAATCACTTACAGATGTAGCAGTAAGTCCTAGAATTGCTAAACTAACACATATAGTTTTTGGTTGTGTTTCTTATATTCACTTACACAAGTATAAGAGAAGTAAGTTGTCTCCTAGAGCTGAAAGGTGTGTGTTCCTTGGCTATGCGGATGACCAAAAAGGATACCAGTGCTACAATCCACAAACCAAACAAATATTTATTACTATAGATGTAATTTTTCATGAGATCGTGATATATTTTTCCCTTGAGTCTGAAATTCAGGGGGAGAATTATGATGAAGTTCAGACTTTTGTTCCTCAAGAAATTGATACTGAGGTCAGATTGGAGAAAGGAAGTTACAAAGTTGTATTGATAAAAGTGTGCAACAATGTGATGATCAACAACCACATAATGAGGAAGAATTTGAGCATATCGAGATCAAAAGTTTGTCTATTGATGCTAATTATATACCAAACAAATCATCCCCTCAAGAACCTAATACAGAAAAAAGAATTATTCATGATCGTGTCACTAGAGGTATCCCTAAGCCTACTTATGATCCTGACCTCATCAGTAAGATAAGATACCTTATGAGTAATTATATCTGTAACCAGAATTTGTCAAACTCAAATATCACATTTATAAGTCAATTATCTATTGTATTTATTCCTAACAATGTGTAGGAAGCTTTAGCTGACTCCAGGTGGAAGGATGCTATGAATGAGGAGATGAAATCCTTGCAAAGAAATAAAACATGGGAATTAGTAGATTGTCCAGTTGGAAAGAAACCAGTAGGATGCTGATGGGTGTATACTATGAAATTTAATGCAGATGACACAATTGAGATATTCAAAGCTAGATTAGTGGCAAAGGGGTATACACAAGCATATGGAATCAATTACACTGAAACGTTTGCTCCCGTAGCCAAAATTAGCACAGTTCGAGTATTGTTATCTCTAGCTGTAAACCTTGATTGGTCCTTACAACAATTTGACGTAAAAAATGTCTTCTTACATTGGGAATTGTCTGAAGAAGTTTATATGGAGCTACCAGAAGGATGTGAGATCCCGGATACACATAACAAGAAGGTATGCAAGTTGAAGAAGTCATTGTATGGACTAAAGCAATCGCCACGAGCATGGTTTGGTAGATTCACCAAGTCAATGCTTACTTTTGAATATCACCAGAGTAACTAAGATCATACCTTGTTTCTAAAGAAAAAGAAAGGAAAGATTACAATTTTTATTGTCTATGTTGATGACATGATAGTTACTGGAGACGATCTAGAGGAACGCAAGGTATTGAAAGAGTACTTGGCAAAGGAATTCGAGATGAAAGATCATGGTCCTTTGAAGTACTTTCTTGGAATTGAGGTCTCAAGATCAAAGTCAGGTATTTTTCTCTTACAAAGAAAGTATGCATTGAATTTATTGAAAGAAACTGGAATGACTGCATGCAAACCAGCAAATTCTCCAATTGAAAGAGGATTAAAGTTGTGCATTGAAGAAGATCAAACTCCAACTAACAAGGAAAGATATCAGAGACTTGTAGAAAGATTGATGTATCTCTCACACACCAGACCAGATTTAGCCTATACTCTTAGTGTGGTTAGCCAGTTTATGCACAATCCAGGTGAAAAACACATGGATGTTGTTATAAGGATTTTAAGATACATAAAAGCCGCTCCTAGAAAAGGAGTA